TCCATTTCTATCTCATCGTTCACCCACATCCTTCATGTCAGTTATTCATTCTCAGTGTTGAGGCTTCCACATTTTCTTCCTGTCTACACTCTTCATGAGTGAGTGAGTGAGTTCCTTCTCAAGACTTTAGTGACTGTTAGTTGGCTGTTCTCTTTCAACTTTATCTCTAGTCTGTATCTCTTACTAGATAGACCCACAGATGCAATTTCCAGGTGGATATTTCTTCCAGACATCTTGTTGCAGCCATCTTAAACTTTCCAAGTCCTCGAGTGATCAACATCCCCTCCACCCCTGCTACCCACCCCATCAACATCATGATCAACATCCCCTCCACCCCTGCTACCCACCCCAACCTGCTTCTTCTTCCGTGTTCTACAGCTCTGTACACGGCACCACCATCCTTCAAATTAAAAACAGTCATCCCAGACTCTGACTTTCCCTTCACCCTCATAAACCAATCCTCATAGAGTGTTGTCATTTCTAACCCTTAAACATGTATTTCCACCCCTCTGTCAGCCCTTTAAGCTCCCATACTCTTTCTCATAGACCAGTAGAGTTCTCAAAGTGTGCTTCCTGGGCCAGCATCACCTACAACGTCTACAAACTTGTTACAAGTGCTACTTCCTGGAACTCACCCCAGACCTACTGAGGCAATAAACCTGAGTGTGGGGACTGGAAATCTGTGTTTTGATAAACTCATAAGGTGACTCAGAAGCTCAGTAAGGTTTGAGAACCACTGCCTAGACCATTACAACAACCCCCTAACTGGTCTCCTGCCTTCTTCATTCATTACTCTTCTGGCGCACCTCCAATTCCACTTAGCAATACGAATGACTGGACCAAAGGGGCGCCTGGGTGGTTCAGTCAGTTAAGCATCTGACTCTGGCTCAGGTCATGATCTCACGGTTTGTGAGTTCAAGCCCTGCAAGAGCCTGCTTCGGATCCTCTGTCTCCCTCCCTTCATGCCCCTGCTCTGCTCATGTGCGCGTGCTTTCTCTCGCTGTCAAAAAAAAAAAAAAAAAAAAGAGTGACTGGACCATGTAACCTTCCTGTTGAAAACTCTCCTGGGGCTTCCCATGGCCCATCTTCAGGGAAAAAAAGTTTAAACACCCTAACCAGCATTCCAGGCTCTTCACAGCTGCAACTGATTTTTCTTTTCTGCCACATGAACTACCTCACAAAAAGATGAAAGGAGAAACAGAAACTGTGTCCTGCACTGGCTTTGGTGCATGGCAGGTGCTTGGTGAATGCTTATTAAATAAATGGTGAGTGGATGAGTTTATCAATTCCTCAGCTGGTTGAGGGATCTTTTTAGGAAGTCTCCATGACCCTCAGTAGCTAGACATAGAAACCAGGTACAATCTGAGGAGATCATCTGACAAATGATTTTGCTTTATGGCTACTGGGGAACAGATGTTCATGATCTGCTACAAGCTACCAGGTTTTGTGACTGTAGACTCTGTCACTCTTCTCTTTCTGGGCTAAGGGACTCCTTGCTTGCTGAGTCATGGAGGAGGGGCATTGCTGTTTGCCCACTCTCTGGGACAGATGTGCATATGTGGAGGCCTGGGATGCGCACAGGGGTACATATGCAGACTCTCCTGGGCACATGGGGACACACAACATAAATAGAGACACTCTTGGGGAACAATCCTACGCATGGAACACAGGACATGTATTGACACATAGGTGCTCATGTTCAGATATCACAGGCTCCCATTTGGCATACTTGGCATATTGCTCTTCTCCCAGGCTCAAATATTTCCCTCTCATTTCAGAAAGAGAGCTTGCATTTGGATTTGATGTTAAGAAAAAACTCAGGCCTGTCTCCTTTATTGATTGACACAGCCACCTTACTCCCAGCCTTTGGCAATCTCTCCTGCCCCCTGGGTCTGGCTGGTTATTGGCAGAGCGGGGAAAATCTGGCACAAGGAGATGCTGAGGCTCCACCTGGTGGTTATATCTCACAACTGCAGCTCAGGTCCCCTTTTCTCCCTCGAAGCTGAATTGCCAAGAGAGAGCTTGGTCTTAAATTAGCCTAGCACCTTCCCCATTCAGGAGCCCAGAACTCTCCGACCATTCCTCACTAAAGTACAGAGCCCAGTCTTTCTGGTGTTATAAGCCTTTCTGCAGGGTTTCACTCCACCTCAGGAGGGCAAGTACTTTGAGAGCAGGGACCCTAGGTGGTTGCCACTTGCTTTGGGCCCTTCCCTTCTCAGCCACTCCTATGGACTTTAAGACTCTACACCCACAACTCCCAAATCTGTCACTCTGCCCAGACCTCTCTGAGCTCCAGACTGCAGAAAGCAACTTCCCCCTGGATATTCCACAAGCAGCACAAACTCACCATTTACCAAAACGAGCTTGTGTTTTGCATTAACCTGTTTCCCAGTGTTCCTGGTGCCAGCGAATGGCCCCATTATCCACTCAGTGGCCCAGATCAGGTATCCGGGAGGGCTCTTTATCCCTCCTCACTTCCAGTTAATCACCAAGCCTTATTAACTAACTCCTACCTATATATTTTTCCCATCTTCACGGCCGCTGACTTAGTTCAGACTTAGTACCTCCTCTCTGAGCTCCTTGCCTCAGTTGTCCCCCTTGTGCAGCCAGTCATCTTTAAAAAATGCAAACTGGATCACATTGTCTGCTAAAAAAAAATCTCAGCATGATCCCACCTCTAATCTTCTGAGCATGGCATACCACGACTTGTGAGATCTGGTTTATGCCCATTGGTCCAACCTCATCCCACTTTACACTCTGTGTAGCAGTAATGAGCTACGTGCAATTCCTAAGCTCACATGCCGTTATACCTGCTGTTCTGTTTGTCTATCTGTCAAGCCTCTCCTCACCCCCATGTCTCAGAGCAAATACTTCTTGAGCTTTCCCAGACGTATTCAGCCAGGCTGAGAGGCTCTCATGCTCCAGCCATACTTCGTTCAGACCCCTGTATGAGCAGCTGATTATACCTCTAGGGGATGTTGCCTTGTCTGTTTCCTCTCTAGATTTTAAGTTGCTTGAGGGCAGGGTCTGTCTTTTCATACTACCCCCCACCCCACTGCCCCGGGACTCCATGCTAAGAACATGACTTTCAGTACATCTAATAAATAAATGAATGTTCTTCTGTCCATGCATGGCCAACCACAGACAGGCTCATGGGACATACTCAGTGAATGCTTGTTGGCTTACTGGCCTCGGTGGAGACGTCTGCGGTGTGTGGGCTGGAGGCAGGTCTGGCTTCAGGACTAGGGGCTGGGGGCAGGTCTGGCTCCAGGATGAGAGCCTGGGCTCAGGCCTGGTGAAGCAGTGGGGGCTTGACTTCAGTCTTGGGCTGAAGCTCTTAGGCCCCTTGTCTTTCTCACTGGCATAGAACAGAGGTGAACAGCTGGTTGCCTAAAATGTTTTCCTGTACAAAACATTTGGCCTGGAGATGTTGTTGGGGCAGTAATGGTTTCACGGGGGAAAAAATGAGCAACATTCAAAAATCAGGGTTTTGCATAAAAATTAGGGTTTGACTTATCTTTAGAGATTGGAGGATGTGACAGTACTTCTTGGAACCCCTCCACGTCAGCACTTCATTTGTACACAGGAGCACCTAGGCCTGGCCACCATAGCATCTGAATTTGCAATCCTGCTCTGGCAATACAGGGTGTGGACTAAGGGGTCAACAGCCTGCTCAGTCTTGGCTCTGACACCTTACTAGTGCATCACCTTGAGCAAACCACCTACCCATGCCCAGGTTTCTTCACCTGTAAAATTGGAATAATGCCTATGTCACAGGGTTCTCTGGCAGGCTAAATAACACTTGAAACGTGCTTGGCAGGGCGTGTGTTCAGCAAATGGTAGTTGTGAGCTCCTCGAGTTTGGAAAGGAGAAGGTGCAGGACAGACCACACAGGAACCATCTTGTCACCAATGAACATTTATTGAGTGTCCGCATGTGCACAGCTTTGAACTTGGCGATCACAGAACGCACTGGGGGAAGGAAGGGGGAAATGGAAGCAAGGGATCAGGTTGTGTGTGGGGGGTCCCCCGGGATCATAAGAAAAGTAGTTCCTGCTGGAGTCGCCAGTCGCGTCTCTCTGCAGAGAGGGATCCTAAGCAGGGGTGGGGATTAAAGCCAGGCACCACGATGGTGATGGGGTGCAATCACTAGGGAAACATGCGGATTCTGGAGAAGTGTCCCTCCTGTTCCTGGCTCCAGTCAAGCCAGATGGCACTAGGAGGACAGGGATCAGATGCTCAGGTGTCCAAGCAGGGATAAGGACAGGCAAAATAAATAACCCCCCAACCCCCATCGTCACTCTGCTGCAACATGACACAAAAGCTTAGAGGCCAGGGCCTAAGGACTCCTGGGTCCCCTCAAGGAAGCTCAGGTGGAAGGAGGTTTCCCCACCCACACACCAGGCCTGTCTGCCCCAGGTCTCCCTGGAAGGATGAGGCAGTTCAGACCCTGGGTCACTGAAGTTGATAGGAAGAACTGCGATGTCAATGGCCTGAGTCTGCTCTCTGCCAAGGGGCTAAGGGCAAGGGCCAAATGGCCAATTGGAAGGACGTGGACTGGGAGGCTAGAGGGGGCACCACAGCCTAGGGGAGCCCACGCCCTGGCCGGCAGGGCACATGGGCTGAGGCAGCCAGCTCCTGCCAGCCCTATCCCATCCTGGGGCCTCCCTCCCGTGGGGGAGTCTGACACAGGGCACAATGACACCTAGTGCCCCCCTCCCTGGGGGCTGCTCCAACATTCCCCGGCCTGGCAGCGATAGCTATGTTGATTTTCAAGCCAATCCCTGCCCCCATGGGGGCCCGGGGGGCGGGACGCAGTTCCTTACACTTGAGGGATGGGCACTGTGCCCTTGCCCTCGGAAAAGCCAGAAAGCTGGGATGTTGTGTGTGTGTGTGGGGGGAGTCTAGGGAGGGGGGTCCAGTTTGGGAGCTTCAGGGAAGATGCCTCCTCCCTCCTTCCCTCGCTGCCCGCCCCTGGGTCTGTCCCCAGTGGACACCTGCTCAGGGCTCTGACAGGCACTGCTCCAGGGCAGCCATGCGGTAGTGGCTGGCTGTCTCCTCACCCGCCTGTAGCCTCATGGCCTCCCGGCACAGCCGGTTGGCCCGTGCCAGCTCCACCAGGACGCCCTGATAGGCGGCGACCATCTCGGGCTTGACAGAGTTGGGGCTGACGCTGCCCAGCAGCTGGAGCAGCTCCTGTGGCCAGCGGGAGCGCAGGGCGGCTGGGGCCAGCCAGGGCAGCAGGGGCACACAGCCTGTGAAGGCCTGCATACCCAGGAACCAGAGCTCCTGCAGGTCGGCCCAGACGCCCTCGTAGTCGGGGGACAGGGCCAGCACCGCCTGGTCTGAGCCAGATGTGGCCCGCGCCACATGGGACTGTGATAGGAAGAGGATGGCAGCTGCGAAGAAACCTCGGGACGCTGGTGTTCCCTGAAGAGCTGGAAGGCAAGCAGGGAGTGGGCGCGTGAACTTGGTGGGCCAGCTGCTTTCCCAGACCCTCACTTTACCCTCCTGTGCGGACACACTCTGGGAGCTGAAGCAGAGCCTAGAACCAGCCTGCCTGGGCTCAAACCCTACCTTCAACTTCACTTGAAGTTGGGTGACCTTGGGTAATCCACTTTTCTGGGTCTCGTTTCCTTACTTGTAAAATGGGGCCAATAGTGCTAATCTTAGAAATCGGTTGTGAGAATTAAATGTGATAATCTTGGTACACTCAACCTCATGGTCAGCCCTTTTTGCAGTGGGACGGGAGCAGGATGGGAGCCGCTGCTGGGCCTAGAGACCTACAGGCGAAGGCGGTCTCAACAATTTGATTCTTGGGCCAGAAGGGGGCGCCAGAGCGGGGGGCAGGGGGACCAGGAGCTGGTGATGGGGCTTGGCTTACCTGCCAGGCAGGGGCTCACCCCTGTACTGCGGACCCTCTCAGGGAGGCTGTTAGTCCAGCCTGGTGGCATCTGTGGGTTAACAGCACTGGGGCTCTACTCAGGCTGAGGTGATGCAGCCTGGGACTGAGGGAGGATGGGGTTAGAGCACAGGGGTGGCTCCTGGATCACTAGGACATGCTCCCTTCCCATTGCCGGAGGACCCTACTGGGATCCCTGCACAGGGAACACATAGGCAGCTGAGGGTACAGGCTCATTACACACTGTTCCCGGGCATCTGCTCAGCTCCTCCAACCTGACAGATGGGGCACAGGGAACAGGCGGGGACAGAGGGACCCAAGCAGACACCCACGGCCAAAGTGGAAGACACAAAGGGCTGGCAGGGGCTGGAGGGGACGTCCCTCCTCCTTCACACAGCCAGAGTGAGGCAGGGTTGCGGAGAAGGTATGTGCAGAGGGGGCACCAAAGCACTGAAGCCTGTCACGAGGGAGGTGAGGTGTTAAGCAGAGAAAAACCTCAATGGGGAGGAAGAAGGTTCCTGACTCAAGCCCTGGGTGGGGGCGGCTCCACCTTGAAAACACTGGATTCAGACTCCGGCTGCTGGGAATTTCAGGTGCCTATGCCTGTGCCTCTGAGCAGGCCTGTACTTACACCCACCAGACCTTGCCTTAAAAGTCTTCAGAAGGAAAAGAATGCTATCATTTGGGGAAGAAGGGTGGGGTAGGGTGGGGGATGGAGACACACTTCACAGATTTCCTCTCAGTTGGAAAATTCTATAAAACCATTTCCTGAAAATGGGGACTTATGCCCAGAATATAACAGGTCCACCCAGATCTTTTGTCTGTATCCATTAGGACTGGGTCCCCGGAGCTTACCTGGAGAGGTACTGAGGAGCCGGGCCATGAGAAGGCCCAGGGTGGCCACATTGGCAGCCAGAAGCAGCCTCCCTTGCTGCTGCACTAGTGAGGGCAGCGACGTCATCAGGGTGTTCATAAGAGATGTGAAGCAGGCATCTCGCCTGGGAGAAAGGGTGGGGGGTGGAGATGGGAGAAGGGGTTATTTGAGCTAGACCAAGGCCTGGGAAAACCTGGGATTCTGGGCTCCCAGCTTCACCAGGCAGGGTTTGGCAAGAAATGAGACAGCAGGGTTAAGAGTTAACTTTGGGCCCATTCATGGCATCTGGGGAACAGAGACTGGGTTATAGCTGGAGCAGGCAGACAGGCCCAGAGGAGTTCTAGACATGCCAAAACCTTGTGTGGGGTGGCTCTGTCTATTCTGAGAGCCTGTCACTCTAACACTAACAGGAACCCATGGGCACAGGGAAGCAAAGTAGGAGACGGAGATCTGAGGCAAGTCTGAGCAGCCCCCACCCCTTGCTTCCTCCAACCTCCTTCCCGGCCTCACTTGATCAGCCCTGGTGCGGTGACCACAAGGTTGAGGAAGATATGGCAGCAGGTCTGCAGGCCGATCTCCACACTGTCAGGCAGCACTGAGGTGTCATGGCCTGGGGATGTGAGTTCCCACTGCTGCAAGAAATACTTGCACAGAAGTGAGGGGGCTCCCTCCTTGATCAGGATCTCCCGGGGCCCATCTTCAACGGTCAGGTGGCACCAGCCGGGCAGAAGGAGCCTGGGGGGTGGAAGGAACAGGTGTGTAAGGGGTGGGGAAAGATGAAGGCACAAGGATTCCCTTTCTTGGGGCATCCCACCTAAGAGAAATGAAAGCAGGGGGAAAGGACACATCCTTCCTTGTAGGTCCCACAGGAAAAGCACATGCTTTGGTGCTGCACAGGCCTAGGCTTGAACTTGGGCTCTGCCACATGGTGTATGTGCGGGCAAGTTACTTTAACCCTGAGTCTCAGTTTGCTCATCCTGAAGATGTGGATGAGACTTATGTCATAGATTTGCTGTGTGAACTAAATGAGACTGTTTTGGTAAAGGGTAGAGCAAAGTGCTTGGTGTGTCGTAGATGCTCAATAAGCATGAGTTCTCTCTTTACAGAGAAATCTGGGGTTGGCAAAGAAGACTTGGCTGACCAGGAGTCCTGTGTGAACAAGCCCCCCAAAACAAACAGAAATAATCCTAAAGGAGATCTCATGCCCCAATCAGGAAGCCCAGCACAGACCAGTTTGGGGGTGAGGAAGTGTCCCTCTGTTATGCTTTTCTTTAGAACAGTCTGGCTGGACAGACTCTAACTACAAACTCACCGGAGAGCATCCCCTGGCCAGGTGGGCCCTGGGGTGGTGGGGGAGATGGCCAGGGTGGCCACCTGCTGGGAGAGGTCATTCGCCTCCTCGGCCTCCTCGTAGAGGGTCTTGGCATAGCGCACAAGGAAGGGCAGCAGCTGGCAGACCTCCTTGCGCAGGGATGAGGTCTCCTCGGCCAGCCAGGCCCCCAGGATCCGCACCGAAGCAAACACAAAGGGCTCCTTCTGCTTCTCTGGCCCCACCTGTTGCCATGGGACCCCTGTGAGATGGAGTAGGACCAGAGACCCTCCCCGGCCGGGACAGCATGCCAGCCAGCCTAGGAATAACACAACTAGAAGGGAATTCTGGCCTGTGAGCCCTTCAAAGGCAGGCCCTGTGTACCCAGCACCTAACACATGGGAAGGATGCGCTCAACAGGGGCCTGGCACAGAGCAGGCCCTCAGGGCATGTCTGCCGAGCGAACTGGACTTTGGACAACATGTCCCCACACTCACTGCATCCCCTTTCCCCCCACCTCTGAAGTATCACAAGGCTCGAAGGAAACTCACAGGTCCAAAGCTAACTAAACACTCCCTCTACCGCAGCTCTGACCTGGGAGGAGTTAGCTGAATCTCTCCAGAGGCCAGGAACCAGGCAGCCCCGCTCCTTTGCCCAGCTCCGTGCCAAGTTTGTATGTGCAGGTGTATGGAACAATGCAAGAGGCTGAGCAGAACAGACTGCTTCGATTTGGAGTGTGTGTGTACTGGGGGGAGGGTTGTGAGTGGGAAGTCACTGTGTTGTGTGCGTGTGTGTGTGTGTGTGTGTGTGTACTGTGATGTGAGTGCACATATGGTGTGTGGTATGGTGCTTGTGTGGAGGCTCAGGGAGGGAGGGAGAGGGAGGCTTGGCCACTCTACTCCCGGGAGTGCTGCAGGATCAGCCCTCAGAGTGGGCATCTTGCGCTCTTCCTATTACACTGAGGTGCAATTCACTTCCCCCTTTGCCTGGCCTTCTGGCTCTCCCCACACCAGACTCCCTCCGTGGGCCGCTATACCTCACCTGCTGCAGATAGTGGATGACAGCCCCGATGGCCTCCTTCATGATGCTCACGAGCTGCACCTTCTGTGGCTCCTTGAGCAGTGACTGCTCACAGCGGGTGCATTCCTGGATCCCCAACTCCATGAGGGCGTAGCAGGCGGTCACCACATCCTCTTTTACTTCTGTGCCTGTCTCCTCCAGTGCCAGCCGTACCTCCACACATGCCAGATTCACCAGCAGGGCCAGGAACTTGCTCCCGGAGCTGCCCGCTGGGATCCAGTCGGAGCCGCAGGCGTGCGCCAGGCGGGCTGCCAGCTTTAGTGCAGGGTTGCGCTGCCAGGAGCTCAGCTTGCTGCCCAGGATGCGTGCCAGCCCGGCCTGCAGATCCCGGAGGCATTCAGAGGGCACGGTTGTCGGGGGCAGAAAGAGGGGCAGCAGCTGGCAGAGCTCAAACTTGCTGGCATCCTCAGCTTTCTGGAAATCTTCACTGAGGCCCCGCAACACGGCCAGGAGGTCGGGCTCCGCCTCCTTCCAGCACTGGGTCTCAGCAGCAGCCAGCAGCCCCACTAGGAGTGCCAGGGCCTGGTCAAAGCCATAGCCATGCCCCAGGTATGCCTGACACAGGGCAGACACGGTGCCACCAGCAATGAGGTGCCGGGGGCCACGGGGTGTGCCTGCCACAGCTGTCAGGCACTGGTAGGTGTCGTCAATCATGGAACGGCGAGCAGCATCATCCGGGTCCCCCCGGGCAGTGAGGAAGGTGCTAAGGATGGGGATCTTGTTCAGGACCTGGGGATGGGAGGCCAGTTCAGGGTCACTGCAGAAGCAGGCCAGCAGGGCCACACCCAGGGCTCGGAGAACATGGTCGGGGCAGCCATCTGGTGCCTCCTTGGTGGTCAGGAGACGATTGGGGAAGGTGAAGCCTACGGCATCGAAGATCCGCCGCCGAGTTTTGGCATCGATGTCACCTGCTTTGACTGCCTTGGTCACCTAAGGGGGGGGGGGGTATGTGCTATCAGCAGGATGAAAGGAAGACTGCCCCCTGCACCCTTGGGCGCTGACCATTACCAGGATGTGGTTATGGAAGGTGATCCTCTCTGGGGTCAGGACGCCTCCAGAGGTCATTTTGTCCAGCTCCTTCCCTCCCCACCCGGGGAGACAGATGGCTGTGACCTCTGAGATCCCTCATTTATGATTACGTATACAGAAGGGAGGTCCAATCCTCAACTACTCGTTCTGCCATTTCATCACTCAGTCATTCGGGAAGTTCTTTCTGATGTCTAATCTAGAAGCTGGCAACCTGATTTGGGCTTAGAGCTCAGTTTAAAATCCCCCAAGGATTTAGGGTCTCGCCCTAATTGCTCTCACCCCCTCCCCAGAGAAGCCTCTGATCCATTCCTGCCACCTTCTCAGGGGAAATGGCTCCTGTGTCTCGCCACTCTGCCTGTCAAAACATTTCCCCTTACATTTCACCTCAACACCTCCTCTGCTGCAGTGTGAGCCCTTGACTCTGGAGCCTTCTCCCTGTTGCCATGGCAAACAAGCAGAGACTGTACTCCCTCCTCCCTTCACCCCCCACACATCAACCCCCCCCTTCCCAGCACTGCAGCTCTTGCTCTGCTGGCCCCAGCCTGGTTCTTCCAACTGGGCTAAGCCCCAAACCAGCTCCTTCACCCTCAACCTACCTACTGCCATCCTGGCCATCCCCTGGGACCCCTTCCCAGTTACTTCTAGTTCTGCTACTCTCTCCACCCCCAGAGCAATCATCCCCAGCCCTCAAGTACTCTGCACTAGTTACTACCTGCTGCTGTCACCCTATGAGTCAGCTCCCATCTGCTCCGGGACGCCCCAAAGAGCAGACCCAGGCAGCCTCCTCCAAGGCTTCTAAGGCCCTACGCCTTATTCACCCCCATTCTCCCCTTTGCTCCCACACTTAGGGGAGCAATGAAGAGTCCAAAGGCAGGCATCTTGGTGCCTCCGGGAATGCCAGGACCACCTATATATCCTCTGGGACTTTTTGACCCCATTCCTAGGGGACCCAACCACCCAGCCCTTCCCACCTCCCAATTTTCAGTCAGGTCCTTACTAGCAGCAGGGCTGCAAACTGCTCACTGTCATTCTTGGCCTCACGGAGGGCTCCCAGGTAGCGCTCCAGGGTGGGGTTTCGGCTCTCTGCCTGGTTCAGAGCTGGCTCACAATCCGAGGCCATGATGCCCGCCTTGCCCAACTGTGAACACAAGAGGGACTGAGCATCCCTCTGCAGAGGAGGGGTGGGGGTGGGAGTGGAGGATGGAGGGAGGGATTAGCACAGAGGGAGGGGAGGATCAGGAGGGATGGGTTCCTCAAGACTGACCTCCCTTGTGGGAGCCCCTTAAAGGCGCTGGACCCTCAAGTCCTTAGGAATGAAGAAGGGACCCTGGCCAAGGTCACCTCCGGAAAGCGGGAAGGAAAGAAGGACCATGCATCCTGCTGCTCAGCTGGACAGCTCTCCTTACCAGTCTCTCAGGAGTGGGAGGGGGCTGGCCCCACTGCTCAGCTGCCCCCTGGCACCAGAGGCCTGGTTTTATCTCCTTCCACCCAGGCACACCAGGAGGGAGTGGTGAGGACAGACAGGAAGGAATGGAGACATACATGGGTGAAGTTCGATTATCCGGACTCAGGCTGATATGAGGGAAAAGGGCATCCTAGGTTCCCTTTCCCCTCCCTTCTCCAGAACAGGCAGGAGACAAGCTTCAGCACAAGTGAGGATGCAGGGTACTGACCAGGGAAGGCTTGGAGGCCCCTTTGCGGACCCCACCCCTCCAGCCAGGGCTCTCAAACGCCCCCGCAGGCTCCTTGCCTCCTCTCCTTTCCCTCCCTCGGGCAGAAGCTGCAGCAGCAGCAGCAGCAGCAGCAGCAGCAGCAGCAGCAGCAGCAGCAGAATTAACCCTTTGCATTCCCTCTCCTCGCCCTCCCCGCTCGCTACCAGTCAGTGGATGCCGGCAGGGGCTGGAGAAGCAAGAAGGGGTCCGGGGTAGCTCCCAGGACAACGGAGAATCCAAAAGCCGGATAATCGAAGCGGGGCTGCTGAGATGGGGAGATGAGAAGGGGAAGAGGGTTCCTGGCGGTCACCACCTGTCCCGCCGCAGCCAGGTCACAACACGACATTGATGAAGTCACGACAGGGCGGCGATGAGATCACACTTCACGATGGCGCGGTGATGTCACGGAGAGATCACGGCAAAATCACGACATGGACAGCCCCCAAAGATGACAGGGCAAATTAAAAAAAAATATATAGCTATATATTGAAAAGGGCTGTGACAAAATGGAGTCTCGACAGGGCACGATGATGTCGCGATATGGCGCGATGGAGTCGCGATAGGGTCCCCGGGGTGTGTCGGCATCGATCAGCGCCGGCTCGGCGAGGCCCTGGTTGGGATGCAGGGGAGGGCCTGAAGGGGGCTGAGCTCACCAGGCTGCGGCCCCGAGCGGCGAAATCTTCTCCGAGCGCGATGCTCCTGGAGCCTGGGGCCGCTGCTCACGCCGCTTTGCCCACTCCCGGCTCCAGGCGGCTGCGGCTCCACCCCCACCCCCGCAGAGCTCTCGGCCAATCCGCGGCGGCTTCACTCCGGGCTCTGGCCAATGGCACACCTGGGCGCTAAGCCGTAGGGGGTGCCACCGTTGCCGCCATCTTGCTTATGGGTATTGCCCGAGTCTGGGGCCTGGGGCTCGCGCAGGGCAAGCGAAGGAGCAGACTGCGGAGAGCAGGAGGCGACAGCCTGGCGGCCCAGGCTCCTTCGCTCGTGCGTAGTTCTGTCCCTCAGCACTGCCTCACCTCCCCCTCTGGCTCGCGGCTGGAATTGAGCTTCCGGGGGTGGGGGTGGGGGCAGGAGGGCTGGTTAGCAAGAAGAGTGTGTTTCCGGGTTGAGCCCAGGGAGGTGGGAGGAGGCGGCGTTTCCGGCCGCCGTCGCTGTCCTGGGAGGCTGAGGCGAGAGGGAGCTGTCCCGGTGGGGAGCCCACACTACCTTCTTCTTTTTCCTCCTCCTCCGGGTGAGGGGAGCGAAGGTTGGGGCCCCGACCCCATGGACCGGGAGGAGGCGGAGGCCGCCGAGAGCCGGGGCCCCGCTGTGTGGCCCTGAGCCCCGGTAGGTGGCCGGGGGCGGCTGGCTGCCAGGCCGAGGACCTCGAGCTCAGGGGAGGGGCAAGCGGGACGGGCTATTTCTGAGGGTGCGCTGGCCGGGTGTTGGGACCCGGAGGTGGCGCTCCTGGCCCGGCTAGGGCAGCCAGCTTCTTCTGGCTTTGTAGGTGTGGGGCTCGAGTCCCAGACCCTGCTTCTTTCAGGCCCACGCCTGGTCATGTAGCATCCTCCATCCCCTGACAGACCGGGCTCGGGGCGCTGCTATCCTTCTTCTCTCGACTTCTGCAGCCTCGTCTTTAGCTGCTGTCTCTGGTGTTCGGTCTCCCAACCAAGATAGAAAGTTGATGCAGAACAAGGGGGGCGGGGTTGAGCACGACGTGTAAATTATCATGCGAAACCTGCCTTATTCCGGACTTTAGAAAATTATTCCCCACAGAGGGGTTCTGTGGTGTCTGCGGTGGGCACAAAGGTGAAATGAAGGAAGTCAAAAGAACAACACCCCAGGCGGTTCCAAAAACGCTTTTCCTTCTCTCACCTCCTGATGCTTGTGCCCAACCGACAATAGATGCAGTTAGTGAAGAGCATTAGCTGAATCTCCTTGTGCTTTCTTCTGTGATTAACAGACTGGGAGCTAAGAACAAATTGGAAAGACGACCTCCCAGAACAATCTGTTCATTTTTCCAGCTATTTGGAAAACAATGCCTGCAAATATAAGCAAAGTTATTCATGGCAGTCTGTTCTGTAACTTTCCCAAATATCTGAGATTTCTTTTTAAAAGAGCTTTATTCTTGATTACTCATACCAGCTGAATAGGCTGTTTCAGACTTGCTCTGTCGTTGTTCAAACATATCTTATCGCTGTGTACATAAATGGAGTTCCACGTATGTAGCTGACAGACTGAACTATGATACATCCCCCATCAACCTGAAGGATTAAGTAAACATTACCCCCTTCTCTGTCTGAACAGCTGCTGCAACAGAGAGTGCTTTTATTTCGGGTGTACTTGTAACGCCCTAAATGCCAAAACTATTGCAGGCTTTTCTGGATTTTCATTTGTCAAGTATTGTGGGGGTGTGTGTTCTCTCTCTGGGTTTTTACCCTTTGATTCTGTAACAAACCATTTGGATCTTGGTGATTGTGTTGTTCTTGCCTCTGGTCAGCAAGGCTTTGACTGGACCCTAGCAGTGATTTGCACCCTTAGGCAGTTGTAGATTTCAGAGGCTTGGCTGGTTGGGAGTTCATTTGAAAAGAGCTCTGCCTCTTATGCATGGTTCGTAAGACATTGCACTTCTGATCAGCTTGCTAATCCAATGGTGTTTGTTACTCCCATTTTCAAAACCTATTCATTTCTTTTATGCTTCTGTCGCCCACCTGTCACGCTATTGATGACAGGTGTTGAGTCACTTTGAATTTAAAATCCTTTTGTGGTAGGCAGAAATGTGTTGGGTAAGATCCATACACACACACGTACACGTGCACACTCACTGTTCCATCTTGAGAGGCTAGGGAAGTTGCTGGATATACTTTCTAACTTGGGCTCCATTTTATAATCTCTTGAACATGTCACTGGCCCGCACATCTTTCAGCCCCCTGCTCCCTAACATACAACTTCAAAACTGCTAGAAATCAGAATGGATGGAAGTGAATGAGGAAGAAGTACTTCAGTTGCTTAAAGCTCAGAGAAAGCCTTTTCTTGGGTGGGCTGTGCCTCAGTTTTGCAGCTGTGTGTGTGCATGTGTCTATTTCCTGGTATTAGTCAATATTGACTTCATGTGATGCCCATCTCCCTGTATGCTGGCTGGGGGTGGAGGGCAGAGTCTACCATTTGCCACATGTGGGTGACGGGTGCACATTTAGGACAGAAGAATTTGAATTGCTTCCTCAGAACTCAACCAACCCTCATGATATTGCCAAGATTTATATAATAATTTATACAATGTAGGGAAGTTGTATAAGAGAAGAAACAGATGAAAATCATTTTTTCTCTGGAAGGGACCTAAATTATCCAGCTCTTAGATTCTAGAGTAGCCAGCACAATGCCTAGCACATAATAGGAACTGTGTAAATATTTGAGTGTCTATATGAATTCAAGTCAGGAATTGCAGATGATTCTAGGAATCAGGGATGTGACATTGAAGTGTAATTTGGATAGATTTTTAAGGTCATAGTGGTGGGGCAGTAATAAACTGGAGAGTGCATGTACTTCCTAAAGATAGTCACGGTATTTTTTAGTTATTTTTTTTTTTAAAGCACAGCTAGACAAAACTCTCAGCTTAGTTTACCTCTGATAGTCGAAACTCTTCATAAATAAGAAGGTCTGTTTGGTCAAAGTCACAAAGCTGTTACTTGCAGAATTGGAACTGAAGCTCAGATCTTTTTTTTCTTCAGGCAAGTGCTCTTTCCATTCTTCCACATAGGTGATTTACTGTTAGCTTAGAAAATAATAGAACATAAAATGTTTCAGTTTTACAGTGGATTCATTTCATACCCCTTGCTATGTTTTTATCCTGATAATTATAGGCTTTGTCAGAACTCAGGTTTAAAATTTACAGGCAGGTATGAGCAGTGAAAGATAAACTTGAAATTTCTCTTCCCTCTAGGCTGTCACATTCTCTAGAATTCTACATTTCCAGGAATCAATTATTAATTACTTGGCATATAATTTCTTCCCTTTCTATCTTTATAGTGAACGGGTTCCGTCTGTCTGGAAGGCCATGGAGAAGAGGCTGGGAGTCAAGCCAAGCCCTGCTTCCTGGATTTTATCAGGATTTTGTTGGCAGCTATCCGTGAAATGGTTGAGAAGCCTGTACCTGTTTTTTACTTGCTTCTGCTTCAGTGCTCTGTGGTTGTCAACAGGTACCATTTTCTTTATAGATTTAAACTGTATGAGTCTTTCAGTTCATATTAAAGACTAGGAGGAGGTAGAAAAGCAATCTTCTAATTGAGAGAAACGGTCATCCTTTTGGTGGACACTTAGTTTGTTGGGTTTATTTGTTTTGGAACCACAATTAAAATTGGATTCTTTCTTATAAAAGGGAATTGGCATGATAATTTTAAGATTTGGTGAAGATGTCATGAAAAGAAAAACATTTGAGGGATGCCCGGATGGCTTAGTCAGTTAAACATCTGACTCTTGATCTCAGCTCAGGTCTTGATCAGAGAGGCATAGGTTCTGGCCCCGAGTTGGGCTCCACCCTGGGCATGAAGCCTACTTAAAAAAGAAAATAAAAATATTTGGAAGTTGGGAAGACCTGGGTCCTGGTTCTGGATGTTTCTACGTAATAACTGTAAAACCTTGAGCAAGTTACCTATTGTCTGTTATTTATTGTCTGTAAAGAAGGATAAGATTTCACCTTGTAGCTTGATAGGAGTGATACCATAATTAAAGTGTGTAGTACAGCACTGTGAACATAGATGCTTCATAAAGATACTTTGCTTCTTTTTCTTTTCTAGAGGAATCTTCACTTACAGGGACAATGTGTTCCTTGCTTTTTCTGTAGAAAAGGGTTATGCTGATAGATTTCATAAAGTATGCTTTCTTCCTAGAGATTATCTCACCAGGCTGGAACCTCTTGCCAGGAAAAAGTGCGAAGGTTACATTTCAAGGGATACTGTTTCTTGAAATCATTTTTTCTTTTAGTTCTTTTGTTGACATTATCCTTTTCAGAGTATGGAATGTGAGAGAACAGCCATCTCGGAGAGACTTTGGAGTATGCTGCCATTCTGGGCAGTGACCAAAAAGCCTTGTGTTATAGAGACCACTGTCTGGGATAAGGAATCAGCCTTTTGCTCCTATAATTCCAAAGATTTCTGTTGTTTCCCTAAAGGAGTTGGTGGTCATGATCTAGAGAATCAAGTAATTACTGTATTTAGCAATTTCAGTGACATCAGCTTTAGAGTTTTTGTTGTTCTGCAGTGGTGGTTGATGATTGCATAATTAGAGCAGTGGAAATTGCAGTTGACAGAAAGCTGACCTAAATGTTTTTTTACCCAGATGATGCTTTGCTGGGACAGCTAACTATTTCAGGCCAACATTTTATGTAAGATCATTTGAGTTAAATAAGTAAGTGATTTAGCACCATCAGAGTAGGAAAATTGCATTTTTTTGAAGAGCACCTACCACATACCAGACCCTTGATTATAAACATTGCATATCTTATCTCACTTAATCCCTATGATAATCCTAAAACAGATAGTTTTAGTCTCATTTTATACATAAGGAAATTGAGGCCCAGAGAGGCGGAATGACTCGCCTAGGGTCATACAGCAAGAAGTCACGACAGAGCCAGGAGTTAAACTCTGGTTTGTTCACCCAATAGCCTGTGCTCCTTTTCTTCTGTTACTCTCTGTCTTCCAACCACAGATAGTCTTTCGGAGGACCAAAGATAGTTTTTTTTACCCTGAACCATGATGAGCAGCTTGTTATTTGAGGGATTCCATGTACAGGGGGGAGGAAGCATTTCTACTTCTGTGTCTGTATTTCCAATCTAGCACTTGGTTAAACAGAGTACTGTGGGCTACTGTGCTAGTCTTTAGTATCCCCTCAGCTTGCTGCTTAAAAACAACAACAGTGAGCAGATTGAATATAGAGGTGCAAAGGTGGTATTGTTAGGAGTGGTTCTGGTGCAGATTAGATTTTACTAGTTTTATTTTAGAACAGTTTGGAGCTTTTACTGTGGAAGAACCAAGAACCATGTGTGTTCAAACTGAGGTCACATGCAGGTAACACGTGACAGATTTGTTATATATTTTAACTTACCAGAGCTTTTTCACATCAATATTTTATTTTATTTATTTAAGTTTATTTATTTATTTTGAGAGAGAGAACATGTGCACGAGCAGGGGAGGGGCAGAGAGAGAGGAAGAGAGAGAGAATCCTAAGCAGGCTCTGCACTGATCACGGAGCCTGATGCAGGGCTCAAACTTGTGAATGCTGAGATCATGACCTGAGCCGAAACCAAGGCACTTAACCAACTGAGCCATCTGGATGCCCCACACATCAATGTTTTAAAAAACATAATATATTTTTTTAATACTTTTTTAAATGTTTTATTTATTTTTGAGAGAGAGAGAGAAAGAATGAGAATAAGCGGGGGAGGGGCAGAGAGAGAGGGAGACATAGAATCTGAAGCAGGCTCCAGGCTCTGAGCTGTCAGCACAGAGCCCAATGTGG